GGGTTTGAACAATATTTGGTTGTGTTTTTAATTTTTTGAAAATGAAAGAGTTAATTATTATTATTTTTTTTTATTTATATTATTAATTAAATTCTAAATAGGTTTTTTTTTTGGTTGTATTCTTATTTTTTTTCAACTTAAATGAGTTAATTATTATTATTATTATTATTATTAATGGAATCAATAAGAAGTTTGAATAATATTCGATTGTATTTTTATTTTTTTACAACTCGAACGTATTAATTATTAATATTATTATTATTATTATTATAATTAAAAATATTAATTTTGTGTGTTTTTGAGTGATGGATAGAGGGGTGTGTTTGAACACTTTTGTTCATAACTAACTGTTTAATTGTAGCATTAATTCAATAAAATTTCTAAGATAAAGTTTTGAAAGGTTTTTTTTTTTTTTTTTTTTTTTAAATAATATATTAATATCGAAATAAAAAATCAATAAAAAATCGATTCGATAATTTGTGTGTGTGTGTGTTTCTTTTTTTATTTTTTTTGCTTCATTTTCATTACGAGACATTTATTTTGTATTCTGTCGTATGTAATTTCTTTGTTGTTGTTGTTGTTGTTTAATATATTAATTTTTAAATTTATTTTATTTTTACTTTTTTCGTATCGTTAATGAGTTTCTCACGTTTTCTGTGTTATAAGAAAAGTTTTTAAAAGATATTTTTTTGTCAATGGTTTAATAATAAGGATCACTCATCTTTTGGGTTGTCAAAAGTTAAGAATTGTTTTTCTTTTCTTTTCTTTTCTTTTCTTTTCTTTTTTTTATTTCTTTCCATTTTTTTTTTCTACTTTCCATTTTCTGATACTTTTGCAATTTAACTTGTACTTATCACTTTCTTTTTTTTTCATTTATTATTATTTTTTTTTTCCTTTAACTATCACGATATTAAATTTGTTTCAAAACGATTTCAATCTTCGCAATACACATCAACTGATAAACGAAATTTTTCTGAAACACGTCAATGTTTTTTATATTTTTTTTTTTTTTAAATAAATAATTTAGCAATTATCTAAATAAAAATAAATATTATTCAAATGTTATGTTATCTTTTTTCAATTCAAACGAATTACGAATTACGAATAAGCATTCAAGTTTTTACAAATAATTTCCTCTTTGTCCTTGCATCGTTGTCGATGGTGACAAATGTGAAGAAAAAATTAACCAAAAAACAAAAAATACAAAAGTTAATACTACAGAAAAACGTGCTTGATCATCATCATCATCATCATTATCTTCCTTTTTTTTTTATTTTTTTTTTTATTTAAGTAAAACAAGTATCAAGTGAGAACATTTTTATAAAACACGCGTTAGAACTATTTTCTAATAATTTGAAGTGAGGATTATAAAAAGGAGCAAAGATTAGCTTAAAAATTTGACAAGTGTTTAATCATCATCACCGTCATCATCATTTTTATATTTTTTTTTATTTAAATAAAACAAATATCAAGTGAGATGACTATTAATAATACACGCGTTAGAACTTTCACTATTTTCCAATAATTTCAAGTGAGGATTATAAAAAGGAGCAAAGATTAGCTTAAAAATTTGACAAGTGTTTAATCATCATCACCGTCATCATCATCATCATCTTCCTTTCTTTTTATTTATTTATTTATTTTTTTTTTTTTTTATTTAAATAAAACAAGTATCAAGTGAGAACATTTTAATAAAACACTTGCTAGAACTTTCACTATTTTCCAATAATTTCAAGTGAGGATTATCAAAAGGAGCTAAGATTGGCTTAAAAATTAGACAAGTGTTCAATCATCATCACCGTCATCATCATCATCTTCCTTTCTTTTTATTTATTTATTTTTTTTTTATTTAAATAAAACAAGTATCAAGTGAGAACATTTTAATAAAACACTTGCTAGAACTTTCACTATTTTCAAATAATTTCAAGTGAGGATTTAAAATAGGGTTAAAATTTTGACAAAGAATTGACAATTTCTCGTTAATCGTCATGGTCGTCGTCGTCGTCGTCATGGTCGTCGTCGTAGTCATGGTCGTCATCATCGTCCGAAGTATGATTCTCGGCATAATAATGCGGGATAAATCCTTCGAATCGTACAAGCTTAGTGAAAGCTAACGGGAAATTAGAAAAGTCGGAAACGGAAACGGCAAAAGGACGAGCTTTTAATATCACCGACACACACACCACAATCCTCTACCTCCTCCTCCTCCTTCTCCTCCTTCTCTTTCCCTAACCACTCTTAAAGCTTTTTCTTTCTTTCTACCCTACCTACCATTTTCTATCACCCTTTTCCCTACCTAACCACCCCCACCCACTCATTCACTCATTTTACTTTTCACACTGTTACCACTTACACATATTATATTCAAAATGCATTTTTTTTACCTTTGATTCGTAATCCAAACACACACACTCACACACATATATATGTACACTTTTGACAATTATCGTTTCGTTTATTGTTTTTTATTTTTAACTTATACAGGTTATTTCATATCATAATGTGAAGCAATCATTGATAAGAATTTACGAGGTCATTTTTGAGTTATTTGGAAGAGTGTACATTTCATTTTAAAATTGTTTTTTTAATTGTAATATTAATTATTAATTATTAGTATTATTATTGATAGATATAACAACTCTAGGTTCTTATACTTCTCTTCTATTACAACACTGAATAATAATAATAATAATAATAATAATAATAATAATAATAATAATAATAATAATAATAATAATAATAATAATAATAATAATAA